CCACGGCTGGTAACAGACAATTGAAGATACACACACATACACACATAAATGACAGTGAAAAGAGGTTATCAGTTGCAATTCATTTGTAATATATGTAATTGACTCTGCCGGTCTTTTGATTACTTCACCACGGATTTAATTTTTATTGTTAGTAAAACGTATTATTACTTGTGCGGCAATAGTTGCAATAAATTCGCGAACCACATTATAATCACTGATCGTCGGAGGACACATAACCTCTTTGTTTGAAACGTGCACGGTAATTTGCCTTTAACAATTGCACTTTCATCACAAAATCACTTCTGCGTGTGGATCCCTTGCAGTATTAATTTGCGAGTATTATTATTGTCTTGTGAACGTATTTGCAAATTACACACATACTTAATAGCAGTTGGGTGGCGAGTCACTTTTTTATATATATAGCATGTATACAGCTTTTATATATACCAATCCCTGATAATTGAAAGAGAGAAATATATTGAGTTAAATAAAGTTTTACCATAACTATTTTATATATAAATTTAACGGCTACTTCTTCAATTCCGGAAATTATATCTTTTGTTTGGCGTTTCGACCACAATAGTTGGTATCTTTTTCAGCGGCAGAAACTTTCGTTTATTGAATACTTGGCGAACAAATTCGATAATCTAAGCATTTATTTTTGTTTAAGAGTAAGGTTGCTATCACATATTAAAGCACATCGTCGAATTTATCTGTGATTGATTTTAATTCAAGTACCATTTTTAAACATGGAATCGTTCATTCGTTTGGCAGAGGCAATAATCGAATTTGAATCCGATTTTAGCAGCACGCCACCTGCAGAGCAAAATAAACATGGTCTTGCAATACAGCAAGACGAACTGAAAGATATGTGGGAAAAAACTAAACAAGGGTATGATACTATAATAAACAGAGAAGGGTTGTCGAAAGAAGACATTAAGGCCATAAGGAGAAAACATAAAAGCTCGTTCGCTAGCTATGTTAAATGCATGTCTGCCATGGCGAGTCAGTCCGAAACGCTTGTTAACGCAGAAAAGGATGTACAGGATCAGTCGGTCCGTGAACACAATATCCACCTACCTCCGTGTGATACCGATGTGTTCAAGGGTGACTATCTGTCATGGCCATCATTTCGTGATATGTTCACGGCCATATACATCCTTAACAAGCGCCTCACTCCGCTTGAGAAACTATTTCATCTCAACCAAAAGACTCAAGGGGAAGCCAAAGACATCGTGAGAAAGTGTCCACTCACAAACGAAGGCTTCCAAACAGCCTGGAAAAGTTTATGCGAGAGATATGAAAACAAGCGTATCCTCGTAAATACACAACTGAAAATACTTTTCAATTTAAATTCAGTGGATAATGAGTGTGGTAGCTCAATAAAAAGGTTGCAGCGGGATATAAATAATTGCTTATCGTCCCTAAACAGTCACCAAATTAACGTTTCAAACTGGGATGCAATTATAGTCTACCTCTGCTCCACCAAACTTCCAGAAAGTACGCTGGCTCTATGGGAACAAACCATAGACCACAAAAATGATATACCATAGTGGGAGGATATGGACAAGTTCCTATCCAACAGATTTCAAACGCTGGAGACTTTATCAGGCTTAAAAAATTCCAAAGCTGTGAGAGCGCCAAAGCCGCAGCACACACACAAACCAGCAGAAGCCTCCCCAAAACGACTTGGCGTTTTCCAAGCAAGCGTGACCAAGTTCACTTGCATAATGTGCCAGTCCAATGAGCACAAGTTACGCAGCTGTTCCCGCTTCTTAAAGATGACACCATCTGAAAGAATAGAGTTCATGAAAAACAATAACTCTTGCTTGAACTGTCTTAAGTCTGGACATACTGTGTCAAGATGCACATGCTCGTTTAATTGCAGCAAGTGCCACTCCCGACACCACACGCTCCTGCACCTTGAGACTGACCAGCAAAAGCCTACAGCGCACCAAATGCCGCCAAGCTCAACTGGTAATCGAGCATCTTCATCGAAGCAAGCACAAACAAGACGCAAGACAGGAAAACCAAATTCAACTGGGGACAAAAATGTCAAGTCTTGTTTTGCAAATTCAAATACTGGTGTGCTCCTAGGAACAGCGCGCGTAAATATACATTATAATGGAACCGATTTTTCTGCAAGAGCTCTTATTGATTCCGGGTCTGAGTGTTCTTTTATAACGGAAAGACTCAAACGCCGAATCAACCTGCCATCCAAAAGGTTGCATGCCTAAGTTTCCGGCATCACAAATTCCATATCGGCGCAGGTCAAAGAAGCATGCAATATAGAAATACGGTCACCGATTGACCCATTATTCCGGTCGAATACCACTGTGCTTGTCCTAGCACAACTAACTGGAAATCTTCCAACTACCCATATTAGCGCAGAAACTAAACAAGCATTCCCAGATTTGGTTTTGGCCGATAAAAGGTTCTTTGTTAATGAGCAAGTGGACCTTGTGCTTGGAGGAGATATTTATCCAGAAATCATTTTGAGCGGCTTGAAGAAAAATGTACTTAATACTCTTCTAGCCCAAGAAACCGTGTTCGGTTGGATATTAACCGGCCGTCCAGATGCAACAAGTGCAACCAACCATATTGCTTCATACTTTAGCGAAGTCGCCTTGGATAAGCAGCTTACTGCGTTCTGGGAAGTAGAGGATCTGCCGAAAAGCAAAAGCCTAAGTGAGGAAGACAAGTACTGTGAGGAGTTGTACAAGAATACACCTCAACGTACCCAAGACGGGAAATATGTAGTTTCGCTACCATTCAGGCAGGATTTTCCAGAGAATGTCTGCCTAGGACCCTCCCTAAAAAGAGCGTGCTCACAATTTTTCCGACACGAGACGCGATTGGCCAAGGATCCTGGACTACAAAAGGAATATAACAGGGTATTATCGGAATACGAATCGTTAGGGCATATGTCAAAGCTAATAAATAATATACCAGCAGAGTCCTCCGACAACTATTTCCTGCCTCATCACGCGGTCATCAAGGCAGAAAGCACGTCAACAAAACTTCGCGTGGTTTTTAATGCCTCAAGTCCGACGGCAAATGGTGTAAGCCTCAATGATGTACTGCTCTCAGGACCAGTACTCCAGGCGGATCTTCCCATATTAATCCTACGTTGGAGATTATATAAATACGTCTTCAACAGCGACATCGAGAAGATGTACCGGCAAATTATGGTGCATGACAATCACACTAAGTTCCAGCGCATAGTTTTTCGTACCAATACGAACGAACCGATCAGTCTTTACGAGCTGAAGACGGTCACTTTCGGGGTTAACTGTGCTCCTTACTTGGCAATAAGGACACTTTTACAACTAGCTGATGATGTGGAAAACTCCTCTCCGATAGCATCCAATATTTTACGAAGATGCATGTACGTCGACGACGTTCTAGCGGGAGGACACAGCATTGACTCTGCGATAAATGCCAGAGATGAAATAACCCAAGTGTTAGAGTCAGCCGGTTTTCCATTAAGAAAATGGACTGCCAATTGCGAAGATTTACTGAAAGACATTCCAAAAACGAATCTACTAACCGAAGATTTTCTTGAATTCGAAGAAACTAGCGCAGTGAAGGCTCTCGGCATAAGATGGAACGCCCATACGGATTTATTCTATTTTATGGCGAGACCATTAGAAGAAAGCGATAATCCAACGAAAAGGGCGATATTATCAGCTATCGCCAAACTTTTCGACCCCCTGGGGTGGCTCGCGCCCATCATAATCGTAGCCAAAATACTAATGCAGGGTATTTGGCTGGAAGGCACGGACTGGGATGAAACCGTAACTCCAACTACCCTGGATCGCTGGAAAAATTTTACACAACATTACCATGAGATCGATAACATACGAATACCTCGATGGGTACATTTCTCACCAACAGATGACGTCGAAGTACATGGCTTCTGTGACGCATCGGAAAAAGCGTATGCGGCTGCTGTATATCTGCGCGTTACACAAAATGCAAAAGTTTTCGTAAGTCTACTTTTGGCAAAAACAAAAGTAGCCCCAGTAAAGACTATCTCATTACCTCGATTGGAACTTTGCGGCGCCGTACTGCTTGCAGAAATCATCGAGACGGTTCTGATTAATCTTGACTTGGGACATTTAAAAGCACACCTGTGGACGGACTCAACAATCGTTCTCGCGTGGATACGAAAGCCGCCTTGTTCGTGGTCGACCTTTGTCGCCCACAGGATAACAAAAATAGTAGAAAAAGTTGGTAATAAGAACTGGCTGCATGTGGATTCGGCATCAAATCCAGCAGATTTAGCCAGCCGAGGACTGCCTGCTTACGAATTGGTTGACAATCCCTTGTGGTGGCAGGGACCTTCTTGGTTACAAGAAGACCAAACTAAATGGCCTGTACAAGAGGCAAACTACAACACAATAGTCGAGGAAAAGAGGGTGCATGTGCACGCAGCAACTAAAATACATAATGCAACTAATATTTTAGATAGACTTTCAGGATTGCCTAGGGCTTTGAGAGTTTTATCATATATTATAAGATTTTTTCAAAGAACCCATCCAAAAACAAGAGCTTCGTTTCGAGCCGAGACTTCTTTAATTTCCGCTGATGAAATTAAAACAACGACTCAACGCTTGATAAAAATCTGTCAAAAGCAACATTACTTTGAAGAGTATAGTAAATTGAAATCCGGGGAATCCATCGATGCGAAGAGTGAAGTTTTGCCCCTTAATCCATTTCTCGATAGAGATGATATCATGAGGATGGGTGGTCGCCTCGGCGCGTCTCAAGATCTGGCCTATAATGAGCGCCATCCAATTATCCTTCCATACGATTGTAGATTTTCTCGCCTTCTTGTCCAGTTTGTCCATGAGATTTCTTTGCATGGGGAAAACCAACTAATGTTACGTCTCATTAGGACGCAATATTGGATTCCCCGAGTCAAAAACATGATCAGGTCCGTCATCCACAACTGCAAAGTCTGCACTATCCATAAGAAACGGTCACAAACCCAACTTATGGGTAACCTACCGAAAGAACGCACAACATTCTCGCGTGCGTTTACAAACACAGGTGTCGATTTTACCGGGCCCTTTGAGATTAAGAGCTATCGCGGCCGCGGTTGCCGCATTTCCAAAGGCTACGTTTGCCTTTTCGTTTGTTTTACGACTAAGGCAATTCACCTGGAAGCGACAAGCGATCTCAGCACCCCATCCTTTCTGGCAGCATTCGCTAGGTTTGTTGGTAGAAGAGGATGTCCGAAAAACATGTACTCCGACAACGGCACCAATTTTGTCGGAGCTTCTCGATCATTACGATCTGAAATGAAGGCGTTCATAGCAGAAGCGCGTGATAAAACCATATCGAAATATAGTCATCAAACACTTACATGGCATTTTATACCCCCAGCAGCTCCTCACATGGGCGGACTGTGGGAGGCGGGTGTAAAAAGTTTCAAAAACCACTTCAAAAAGATTGCATCCACCCACAAATACACCTTTGAGGAGCTCAGTACCTTATTATGCCGAGTTGAGTCTTGTCTCAACTCGCGACCGTTAAGTCCCTCATCGAACGAGCCAACTGACTTGGAGCCTCTAACTCCCGGTCATTTCCTCACAGGCGGTCATTTACTCGCGCCACCGGAATTAGATGTAAATGAAAACCCAGCCTCCATAATAAATAGGTGGCAGAAATTAAAGGCTTTACATCAAACCTTTTGCAGGCGATGGAAGTCAGAATACCTATCCGAACTACAGAAGCGAATTAAGTGGAAAAATCCAAAGCAGAATATGGAGATTGGTGATCTCGTCGTTATAAGAGAGGACAATTTAGCGCCTAACGAATGGAGATTAGGCAGAGTAATCAACCTGCACCCCGGTTCCGACAACCGAGTGCGTGTGGTGGACATCACCACCGAGAAGGGTCAGGTAACACGACCGCTGGCAAAACTTATCCTACTGCCACCGTACAACGAGAGAATTGAGAAGCCACCGAATGCTTCTTGATTCTACCCCTTATATGATTACCTAACCCTCTCAACGAGACACCAACTACATCAATATTCCACTCCGTCAGTACCCATACAAATTCCACTTCTATACCTCATGAGAGATTCCATTGAAAATGTGAAAAAGTGTCATTGTCGGGTTTAAAATTATCGGTGAAAAATTGACGCCAGTCATATGAAATTTATATGAAATTCATATGTAATAATTGCATTTGCGCTTTATTTTAGTTTTGAGAAACATTAAAAATAAAAGTAAAAAGGTAACGAAATGCGCGAAACTACCATATAAATAGATTCACTAAATTCTCCTGTGAAAGCTCGCCGACTCGGCTATTTAGTTTTTTTTCGCTACTGTGGCGACAATTTTGTCAGAGTGACAATTGCCAGCCCATTGCCGACAATATTTCAATATATACTGTCGAAAAAAATTTTCACAATTGCCTACAAGCGTATTTGAAATATAAAAAAAGGGGCAACAACAAAAACACAACACCACCCTATATCAACTCGCCTGAGTTTCTAACAACTTATTCAATAAATCATATGAAAATCTTTTCATCACTCACCTACACATAGCAGAGACCCTCGAAGTCTAACCATTAGATAAAAAATCTCGCAATTCAGAAGAATCGTAAGACAGCTCCTCGTTGCAACCCGTATATGTCAACTGCCGTTTCCATTTAGACAGAAGGTTCGGTTCCTAAATCGAGTTTACAGAAATTATTAACACATGGTATCACGTTAAATTTACCACTCACCTGCGGATTAAGGTGTGATGCTAAGTCCTCACCTGGGCAAAGGTACATAGGTATGTACTCCTGCAGTTTATCTTTGCGTGCGAAAGTACTTGGACAAAGACTACATTGGAATGGCTTTGAGTTTGTATGTGTACGAATGTGTCGCATCAGATCTGTCGCGCTTGAAACGGATCGTGGGAAACGCGTACAAACATGTGGTTTTACGCTGCTATGAATTCGTATGTGTTTTGTTAAATTGGTATTACGAAAAAAGGTTTTTTTTTTTTTTTTTTTTTTTTCAAATCCGAACGCCGGCAGAAGCCCTTTTTGCAGAATGCACATACATATGGCTGCTCAGGATCATGTAGTTCCTTGATATGGTATATTAAATTCTGACGACTTGATGTGCGTTGTGAACAAAAGCTGCAGACATAGGGTGCGGCACTGTCGTGTTGTGATTCATGCTCTTGGCAGTGGTTGCGTTGTAAATGCCATATCACAATACTGGCAAAGGAAGGTGTTTTTAATCACAGTTTCTCCGGCAATAAATGAGTCGCTACCAAGCATGTTGGGAAAAGCAGTTGGTGCTTCGGACGCAGGCATAGAGTTGTCGGTGTTTTGCTGTTCCTCTGTGGTCATAGGAACTGTTGCCGATAGCGAATCTTTTGGTTCATTTGTCGGTTGCTGCGATAATTGATGCGTGTCATTTGTAGAAGTTTGCATTTGCAAGGCGTGTGGTGATGAAGCCGAATGCTCTTCGCCCTCCGAATCCGATTCCATAAAAAAATCATCCTCTCAACTTTCGTAATCTTGATTGGGGCTCACTTCAGTTATTATGCAATTATCTTCAGGCTCAAATGTGCCTGGGTTGCCATTAAGACCCAGACGTTGATCCACGCAATCTGCCGTTCTTCTATTTTGGCGTTCCACCCAACTCTGCAACTCAGTCTCAATTCTTTGCACATTTTCGCGAAAAGCGGAAAACGCCTCAACCATTGCAAAACAGCGCTGGCAGATGTTACTAGGCAACAACGTTGATTGCTGAAACTTAACACCTAACAAGTCATACAGCCGTTCCACCATTGGCATTCTTTTCTCTGCTCCAACGGTTGGTGGCGTTTTTTGTGCTGACTGTGGAGACTCCTGCTCAAAGATATTCACAATTGATTTGTCATGACGCAAACATAGGCGACATATGTAGTCCAGTGCCGTCATCCATTGCTGAAGATTTTTTTTTAACATGTTGCATTTCCGCTATGGGAAATAAGAAGTCTTCTTATTTATTTGAATTGTTTCTTTCTTACACTTGCGCAAGTCATAATCATGAGTTCACAAAATCTAACTATAGCATTAACATGCATATCTTACAGTTTCTAAAAATAAAATAAAATACAATTTATTAGCGTACCATGTATGTAGAGTATGTATGTATGTACTATGTAAATGCTTTATAAATAACTTAAAGATCCTGGTCCGTGAGCCTCTGCACCACGCATCAGCCGCTCCTAGGAAACCGTATTAAGTGGTGGAAAAGGATTCTGCTTGGACACCACCAATTTGTTGTGACTGTATGAGATGTAGCCCTTGATTTTACCCTCAAAAATCAAATTAGCCACTATGCAATGCGTTTCATCGATGCTCACATCTGTTTCGCCGACAAATTGCAATGCCGCTTGAAATGCCCGCAAATCTAATTGATGCGTCTATTTGATTATGTACACACGCTTGAAGAGATTGCAATAGACAATGAATTTCAATTTTTCAACCAACAAATAAATGCCGCATTTGATGAAGAATATCTCATGACGTTGTATAACTTCGTCGAATTTGCAAACATGGCCCTCTTTTAGAGCGACAGCAAGTTCATGAAACTGTAGTAGGTCAAAACGTTCGAGGTTGTCCTTCTTATGTTCAAAGGCGAATTAAATATTACAGTACGTACCGCATTGCGTTACGATGATTGCCGTCTATTACACTTTCCTAACTTGAAATTGACCTTTAAGCTGAATTGGGTTTGTTTGGCGAATCCAAACGATCATCACGCGGTTATGCCTTGTGCGCCGGACAAGCTGCCAGAATATTCCAGCAACCAGGTTCATGATTCCTTCCGTGCCTTTCGTTCACTTAACTTGAATATTTGGATTTCTTTTGAAACAAAACCGAAGCCTGGCGAGGAGGTGGAAATCGACATTCCCAGCTTGGTTCTATACGGCAGCACCCTCCGCTGGTTCGAGAGCCTTAAGCTGATTCTATCAGGCGTTACCCGTCCAACCCGACGCGGGCCGGTATTTAATAATGTGCGCCCTCGAAAAAAGCAACTCAGTCGACATTACAAAAAAGCAAACTTGCAAATGAGTTTGCATCGTTTCCAAGTACTATACTGGATGTCTCATGCCCTGCACAAGGGTTTCCAATTGAACGGTGGGCGTGTTTCTTTTAGCTCGGAATATTGTTTATCGTTAAATCCCATTGACGATGGACTTATTCATAGACCGCGTGCTGATTGGTCCACTGTGTATATGAATTGCGAATTAAACGATGCTGAAATATGGTTGAAGAGTATACTTACTGAGAAACTAGATAGCAGTTCAGAGAACCTAGAGAACCTGCCTTCAAAATAGTGAGATTCTACTTTTTAAGCGTGGCGAAAGTTTCATATGGTCGAGAGGCGCTCATACAAACCGCAAACAGCTAAGCGGAAGTAGACTTTGAATAGCTGATTAACAAGGTTGAGCATGCCAAGGCGTTTAGTGTCGTCATCCGAAGATCTATTATCTGCGGCACATACACGGAAACAGCTCATTAAGCAGTCTGCGGCCTTCTCAAGAATTTCCCCCGGCTTGCTGCTGCTGCCAAGTTCTTCGCATTTTTGCGCTAATATTCGCAAATCCAAGCAGGTTGGGTACATTATGGGAAGACACCAGTTCTCCTCCTTCAACTGTTGCAACATTTTCACAACAGATTGTATGCATTGTGATTGTTGGCGATAAGCTTGCATAAAATCGCGAGTTTCCAAGCCCAAGTAATAGAGTACTTTCGGATGCGCACAAACAATCTCATCAATGGGCGGATCCAGCATACGTTCCACGGCATTCTCTGGACACTCCACATATAAATTACGATTCATTATATGCTTGTCTTTGAGTGAAATAAAAGATGCCATCGTCTCACCATCCGCCACAGACCAGGCGCGCTGCACGCCGCTCAAGTAATTTTGCAAAATTTGGCTGCAAATTTTATTAAGAATTTGACATTTTGCAAATGAAATGATAAGAAATAAAAGACATACTCACCCATTTACTGGTTTACTCCATGTGGCGATCGATTGAATGATTTTTTTTTTCATTCAGGAAATCGTAATGTGAGCCGCGGAGTAGAAATGTCAACTTAAGTCTCCGCATAAAGCCGCTACTACATAACTTCCAGCGGCGCCATCTATTTCTCGTTTGTGGAGAAATAATATTTTTTTCACATGCTTGTATAGAAATCATTCATAAAAATAAATTTCATTAATTGCCACTTGTAGACAGAAGTAACCACACTTAAATAAATGCCACCAGGTGCACGTAGTAGGTCGGTTAAATTATCGCACTTAGTCGTCAGCCATTAAGAAGGCTATCGTTGCAAATATTTTTTGTCTTCTTTTTGCCATGTCGGATTCAAATACGTATGCACTAATTTTGCCTCTAGATACTCTACTTTCTTTTGCGCAAAACAAATTGGCTGGTACATAAGAATTTTACCAAAAATTTTATATTACACTTGCAATTTTTTGGGATATGAGCTACCCTGTTTTTGGCAATGGTAACATACAGTGGCACCTCAACTTTTTTTTTTTTTTCGGCCCCCAGGCTGTTGGGTGTCGATCTTGGCTAAACAAAAGTCTCCAAAGTACAAAGAAAGTTTGTTTTACATTGGCAGAATTTAAGCCATCAATTGGAAAAAAAAAAAATAACAAATCAGCTGAACAAAAACAAATTTCTTGCGAATGCCCTCAGTTTGACACTTTCTCATGTTGCCTTTGAAATTTGTTAGAATTGTCATAATGTCAGGGCGACATTTATTTTTTTTTGTCTTCCGGTACAACCCTGCATAGGAAAATATATAGCACCGGTGTGACCCATCAACCACAATACATGGGTAATTCTGCGTTTACACGTGCCAGTTTCCAATTTCGATATGCCCAAGAACGCCCTGCTTAGATCGTAAAATTTAAGATTTGCAAAAGGAAAACGAAACTTTCTCGCCGATCCGTTTTACTTTTATATATTTAATCGCTCGCTACCCAACAACAACGTACAAAAAAAAAAAAATATAACTTAACTGAGGCACCTAAATAAAAAAAAGCGTATTTCAGACAACCATGACCCGCTTCAGTGCAGTAAAGCGAAACGCCGCAAAGAATGCCCATCGCTTCGTCGTGCCGTGCCACTTATGTGACGCAAATCACCCAATTAGGCTATGCTCGGTTTTTCGCGCGAAAACACCTGAAGAAAGGTTAAGAGAAGCGCTACTTGGTCGATACTGTGGAAATTGTTTAGCCACAGATCACGCAACCGAACGATGTGCCAGCGAAGGACGATGCCGTCGATGCGGTGAGAAGCACCACACTACGCTTCACCTCGGTGAAGCTCGACGACCCGCAGACGAAGCACAAAAGCCTTGGAGCGTCCAAGTCGAAGAAGAAGAGCGCAATAGCTATGAGGCGGCGATCTCGCTATACGCGTCTGATTCTGGAACGGAGACCAGGCCTCTCCGTCCAGATATTGAAGAGGGCGAGATTATAGAGTTCGGAGTGGAGACTCGGCCTCTCCACCTGACTACTGCAAGGGTACCGGAAACTAGGTCTTTCCGACCTTTACTCCAACACGAGCGCGATCATCAACGACCGCATAAGCGCCAACGACCGCACAAGCGACAGCGACCACACCAACGACAGCGAACGCATCAGCGACGCCACCGAGACTGCAGAGCGGAAACTCGGTCTTTTCGCCTGCAGCGATCTTCGCGCAACCCATCGCCATCCGCATATGAAGATAGACTGGCGACTAGGCCTCGCCAGCTATCACGACCAAGCGCGTTCCGTAATGGGTTATCGGCGAAA